CAAAAAAAAAAAAAAGAAAAAGATTCAATTCTTCATTGTAGCTTTCGGATAAAATGCTGTTCGAAAATTGTGTCAAGTATATTTCTCTAAATTAAAATTTCGTTAATTAATCCATCTTCATATTTAAAAACGAAATGCTATATATTTATAAAAATTACAGAAGAAATAAATCCACCTAGCAATCAGTCCTCGCTTAACCAGCCAATCACATAAATTTCTTTTGGTAGTTAGTAGATCAAGTCCAGTCAAATATAATGCATGTCGCAATAAAACTCTACTTTCAACAGCGCAAATTAAGAACGAATTATCTGCTCACAGGTTACAAGGAAGTCCAAATTTTATTTGCCTAATGCATGTCATGGAATTTGAGGAGATACTTCCATTATATATGTATCATATCAAGATCATTGGCACTCAGAAGACAACAGCATGCATGTGTTTTTCACCTTGAATAGGTGCAACTGTTCCATCCACCCATAACATGACACCGGATTTTACTAACTCTCAAAACAAAATCTTGGTTTAGGCATATCATCTATCTTGTCAGGTCAAATCCACTAAACACGAACTAACACAGATTGGCTTTGGCAAGCTATCTTGAAATGGGCATTTAATCAAACATCATATACGCAAACCCCCCAAAACCAAAGTTAGCTTCAAAAACACCAATCAGTCACCCACAAACCAACACCCTCGCCCAACACAATATGTCATCATAATATGCCAAAAGCTGTCGGTAATCCAATACCGCCATACCCTTTGTACAGAGAGACTGAATGAGAAACATTATATGTTCCGATTGAATACGGAGAAATGATTACCTGTTCGGAATCGCGGAGCACAGTTTGAGTAGTCGGCTATGGGTACGCAGAGGTTTAACCCCGGAGGAGAGAGAAGAAGATTTAGGTGTGATGTGAACGTTAAGGTTGTTCGGTGATCACTAACACTGCTACACGGACTTCAATGGGTCTATCTAGAGGTTAGGCGGATCATGGTTGGTGAATGGGCCGAACTTCACTAAATTTGGGCTCACTCTTGTTTGGAAAATGGAAGGGCCTGAAAACGTTAATCNGAGGAGAGAGAAGATTTAGGTGTGATGTGAACGTGAAGGTTGTTCAGTGATCACTAACACTGCTACACCGGACTTCAATGGGTCTATCTAGAGGTTAGGCGGATCATGGTTGGTAAATGGGCCGAACTCACTAAATTTGGGCTCACTCTTGTTTGGAAAATGGAAGGGCCTGAAAACGTTAATCCGTGTGATTGCCTGTCAAAATCATAGCCCATTGGCCCAAAAATGTTTGGTCCACTGCCATGTGATGTGCCCTTTTTTTTTATATACTTTTTTTTTGGGGGAGGGGGATGAGGAGAGGCGGAGGCGGAAGGAGACTTGAAATTTTGAACTTAAGAAAACAAGACTTTTATAAGATAAGTAANATATATATATATTTTTTTTGGGGAGGGGATGAGGAGAGGCGGAGGCGGAAGGAGACTTGAAACTTTGAACTTAAGAAAGCAAGACTTTTATAAGGTAAGTAATATCATTGGACCAAAGGCCCGTTGATAAACTCAAAAGTGTGCCCTTTTTTTTGGATTCATATTTCGTCGATCAATCATTCTTAATTCACATCTTTGTTAAAAGAATTTTTTTTTGTAATTCTTTACATAAGGATTCCGAAAATACTGGATCCCCATCTACACAAGCAAATTGTTGATAAAACTCCAAAATGACATTTTCTTTTGACCTAATTTGACTAAGAAGGAGGTGGACGCATTAGTTACGTGGACCCTTTCTTTTCTGTTGTTGCCAGCGCTTTCTCGAGCTGAGCCAGAATTTTGGATTCTAAAGGGCAGGCAAAGCCTGAAGGTTGCTATCCCAATAAGCCAACAGGCAAAACGAGGAGAAGATCTGACAATCATACCACCGCGGACAAAAAAGAGTTTTCCTTCCCCCACTGCATCTCTCTCCTTTTGTTGAGCCTTTCCTTTAATGGTTGGGGATAACATTCCCTCATTTGAACTTGGCGGGAAAGAGATGTGCCTTTTTTTTTCAAACAAAAAAGGTAATTATATATCTTAAAGCACCTCACCAAGAGTTTTAACCGTTTATTTTGATACCATTTGTCAATATTATTGCCTAGAGAGTATAATTAAGATTGTTAACCGTCTATTTTGATACCATTTGTTAGCATAATTGCCTAGAAAATATAATCAAGACCGTTAACCATTTGATACCATTTGNTTAACCAAGAGCTTTAACCGTTTATTTTGATACCATTTGTCAATATTATTGCCTAGAGAGTATAATTAAGATTGTTAACCGTCTATTTTGATACCATTTGTTAGCATAATTGCCTAGAAAATATAATCAAGACCGTTAACCACTTGATACCATTTGTAAGATTTTACTNCCAAGAGTTTTAACCGTTTATTTTGATACCATTTGTCAATATTATTGCCTAGAGAGTATAATTAAGATTGTTAACCGTCTATTTTGATACCATTTGTTAGCATAATTGCCTAGAAAATATAATCAAGACCGTTAACCACTTGATACCATTTGTAAGATTTTACTTATAGCATGATTATATTACTACTTGCCAAATTTGTTATTTGCTCCATTGAATTTCTAATAAAAATAATGTTATTAAAATTTAATTTATTGTAGTCTTTGAATTAACCATAAAATTTATCGAACATTAAAATTTAATATTGCTCCAATAAGTAAAATAAAATGACACAATGCCCGAAATCTTTGCGTTCTTTCTCCTTCCAGTGTCATCACTGCCCAACTATATCTCTNCTTGATACCATTTGTAAGATTTTACTTATAGCATGATTTTATTACTACTTGCCAAATTTGTTATTTTCTCCATTGAATTTCTAATAAAAATAATGTTATTAAAATTTAATTTATTATAGTCTTTGAATTAACCGTAAAATTTATCGAACATTAAAATTTAATATTGCTTCAATAAGTAAAATAAAATGACACAATACCCGAAATCTTTGCGTTCTTTCTCCTTCCAGTGTCATCACTGCCCAACTATATCTCTGACACTTGGATCACTTTGTAAATACTATTGTGAAGTTAACAACTCCTTCACCCCATCTAAGGTACATCACTACCTGTAAAGCTGCACTAAATAGAATGAGGAATGCACTAAATAGAACGAGGAATGCCACGCGAATTTAAAAAGTGAACTTAAAATGCATATTTCATAATCACAATTATTAATTTTATNTGAGGAATGCGACCCGAATTTAAAAAGTGAACTTAAAATGCATATTTCATAATCACAATTATTAATTTTATTATAGATTTTAATATTTATTAAAATTTATTATTTATTCAATAATTATGATTATTAAGTACACGTTTTAAGTCTAAATAATATTTCCCTTAACACAATTTATACTTACCCAAAAAAAAAAATCTCAATTTATAAAGATATTGTTTTTTTTTTGTTCAATAACCAGGAATGTTCGGGTCAATTTATACACATCTCGACTAATATTCTCTCTAATTTGGTAAAAAAAAAAAATCATCCATACAAGAACTATGATATTCATGATTGATAAATTTTTTCTAGTATGATCACAAANGCACATCTCGACTAATATTCTCTCCAATTTGATAAAAAAAAAAATCATCCATACAAGAACTATGATATTCATGATCGATAAATTTCTTCTAATATGATCACAAAAATTTGTCATGATTTATAAAAATATTCATCCATTAGTATATGAGCCCACCTTCAATGTAACTAAAAAGCAACAATATTNACACATCTCGACTAATATTCTCTCTAATTTGGTAAAAAAAAAAAATCATCCATACAAGAACTATGATATTCATGATTGATAAATTTTTTCTAGTATGATCACAAAAATTTGTCATGATTTATAAAAATATTCATCCATTAGTATATGAGCCCACCTTCAATGTAACTAAAAAGCAACAATATTATATCTTCTTCCATATATTATTTCGTCTAATATCCTCTTTGATCTGGTTAAAAAAAATCATCTATACAAAAATCATAATATTCGTAATGGGTAAATCAATCGTAGAATAGTCCCAAAAAATTGCCATGATTTATAAAAACATTCACCAAGTAGTATATGAGCACATCTTCAATGTAACTAAAAAGCAACGATATTGTGTCGTCCTCCGTATCTTACAGAATCCTACAGCTTTNCTTATTTCGTCTAATATCCTCTTTGATCTGGTTAAAAAAAATCATCTATACAAAAACCATAATATTCGTAATGGGTAAATCAATCGTAGAATAGTCCCAAAAAATTGCCATGATTTATAAAAACATTCACCAAGTAGTAAATGAGCACATCTTCAATGTAACTAAAAAGCAACGATATTGTGTCGTCCTCCGTATCTTACAGAATCCTACAGCTTTCACAGTCTTCCAACCAAGACGCCAAAATATAATAAACATTGACGAACAGCAAATAAAATACAAAGATGAAGATCAACATTAAGATACTAAAGCAGTCATATTTGGACCCTCACATTGGCCATTCACACTCACCTAGTCAAGTCAAATTTAGAGGAAAAAACTTCACAGAAAGAAACCCTAAAAACCTTTTTCATCAAAGGCATATCCTTAAAATTAAGTAGTTGGATACAATCCGAGTTAGGACATATTCTTGCAGATAATCTCGACCGTCCATCATTTGGATCTTTTAAACTAATGGGTTTGTTGCAGACGATCCATAACCGTTCATCAACCCGGTCCAAGCTCCAAGACCATTGATATAACCAAAAGAGTCCTTCCCAGCATCAGAACAGCCTTGTTCTTGCCATTCCAGTGACAAAAGCTTGGTGTTTGGCTTCACATCCATTGCATTTTGACCTTCATTTCCTTCATAAGGAAGCATTAATCTATGGCCACTGTCCATGAAAGGTCCACTAGGGTTCCCATCAAGAGACATTCCAAATGGAGAGCAAAGGCCATGGAAACCAGTGCCCAACCCATGAGTACCCATATCAGGAATCCCACCCATCACACCCAATTCTCCATTTCCCATGAAATCATACTTACCCTCCATGAAATCAATGGGTCTAGGGTTTTCAACAAAGGCATTGTACTTGGTGTCCATGAAAGTAGGGTTACTAAGACTAAGGCTTCCATGCTGGCCTAGTAAATTAGTGAGGTGAGAGAATTGAACCTCTGGGTATGAAAGTTGAAGATCAGTTGGATTGTTAGAAGATGATCCAGGGTTCTGATTAACTGTTTGTTCATTTGATTTCTTGGAAGAAACCTTCTTGTTCTTTCTACACCCACCACCAACAGGAATGTTTCTTAGTGTTCCTCCTTTGGTCCAATACCTTCTGCAAGTTTTGCAGAAGTACCTTGGCTGAGAGAGGCTGTAATTGTTGTAGTAACAGAACTTAGTGTGAGTTGAATCACACCTAGGGCACTTGAGGGCTTGGTCATGTGGGGGTCTGAGCCTTCTCTCTATTAAAGGCCTTGAGCATGTGAGCATGTCCCCAGATGGTGAAGAAGAATCCAGTCCTGTCTCATCGGTAATTGTGCCCTGAGTGGAAAACCAAGGAAATAGTGGAAACTGTGTCAGAGTTCATGTCAAAATAATGTTGGTGACATTCCTTTCCTTGTCTAGTATAATTCAGAGATAGGCATATCAGAATGTCTCTGATTTCTGAGCTAAAATGCAAACACTTTAATCCCAACAAATGAGCCAAACATTGTGTCAGATGTATTAGATTAACTGCCAACTTTAGCTAATGAGCAGTACCGATAATCATGATTAGGACCTTGTATTTGTCCTTTTTTGTTTCAACTTGTCTCTTTGTACCCTGGATAACGCTACTTTACTACTAATTTTCAGAAAGCACAGATCTCGTGATTTGAACTATCTTTACATAAAATTATATATACTTCTCTTTTAAACTTCAGATTCCAGAGTTAAGCGGGGAATTTGGTCAAGTTTTTGCTTCCTTTCTTTTTTTTAAGTTTAGCAGTTAGAGTGTTTGTATCGATTTATGCACTTCTCGAGTAGTTCCTCCTCAAAGTTAAGTTATCAACGCCGAAACTAGGTTTTTGGCTTCCTTCAATTGATACTGATACTAGAGGACTCGAGCATACATGAGTAAGGCCAGTGGGTGTAACAGTTCATACTTGTTCACACAGCCTTTGAAATTACAGTCAATTAAAGCTGTAATAGTTGACAATTAATATAAGCTAGGAAATTGCTACGTGTATATATATATATGAATATTCAAATTCTTTTTCTTGGCATTAGAATTTCGAGCTGTTCTATACCTCCCTTGAAAACTGTCTAGCAAGTCATCTAAAGCTCGATCGCTTACGATAATTTGAGTTCATACATGTGACATTTGAAGGTGCACACATCAAAAGAAAATGGGTCACTGTACAGAAAATGTAGCCATCTGCATTATTTTGGTCATTAAACAGAGCCTGCATTAATGTGAATGATGAGGCTCATTAAGACGGTTAACACATTAGACACAGATGACTAAAATATATAACTCACATAATCTCAGTCCTTCAGATACAAAAGAAACTACACAAGATGATAAGGCAGCTGTGGTTTAGAATGTTTGTGTTGTGTGTGTGTGTGAGAGAGAGAGAGAGAGAGTAATGAAAGGAAATCCATGGCATACCTGGAGCCAGTCAGATGAATCCATGCAAACTTGTAGAGAAGTCAGACCCATTAATTAAACCAGCTGAGCTATGCGAAGCAACACAGATAAGAGATTGTTCAGGCCAAAAATCCAAACTTCAAAGACACTGCATTACACAGCTTTACTGCAATTAAATACATACAAGAATGAGAGAGTATAGAGAAAGAAAGAGATACGTGGGTTATTTCTTTGTATATAGTCAGTGGGGAAGCAGAGAGAGAGGGAGAGAGAGAACTTAGAAGGATTGATTTGTTTGAGTTGGCAAAGGGTGGGCTGGCGATTGTGAATATGAAGGAAGAAAAAGGAAGTGGTGGGAGCAGTAGATACCTGCTGCTTCCGTCGGTGAGAATCACATGGGCCCTAGACTGTCTGTATTCTCCAAACTCTAAGGCCCCACACATAGTCCTGCTGGACTGTGTAACTTTGCCAGTGAACCAACGGCTTAGATCTCATCACAGTTCCAATAAGGAAGATCAGAACCGTTGATGAAGATGGTGATTACATTTTCTGGGGTCAGGAATTCAGAAATCACGGCGTCGTATTTAGAAGCCTATATGTCTGACGTGACAGAGGTGAGAATATTTTGGTCTTCGATAAAGAGCACAAACAAATGAGCTAAAAACCGAAAGAGCACTCCACTTGTGGACCCTAATGGCCAGGCATGTGGACCCCTACTAGCCTCCTCTTACAAGCAAAGGATAAATTCGCTTGTCACGTGTCTACTCCTAAGCTAATCACGTGTACAGTTCTCCCATACTCTTGCTCACATCAAAACCTGACTGAACAATAACTGAGTTTTATAAGTGTTAGTCTCGTCACACCAATTAGGGATCGGTAACTCAAGTCGTAATAAAAATAAATAATAAATTTAAATTGTAACGATCTTGTATGGCATGTTTGGTTCATGAGTTTAGATGGGATTTATAGTGTGATTTTTGTCAAAATAGTTCAATACATCACATTATTTCTTATTTAATTTTATATTTTAGGGGTGAAATTTGAATTCCAACCCATCACATGCCTGTAAGTTAAACCCATGTATAAGGGTTTCAACAAATTCATGAAGCGGGTGGGTTTGAGTGGATTTAGGCAATTTCATAATAAATATATGGTGATATTTATAATTAATTCGTAGGTTTTATGTGTATTTATGTCACGTACTAAACACATAATTAAATATGATATATTTTTCAATCACATGAACAAAACTTAATGGTTGGATTTAAAAGAGTTTCATAAATCTAATCAAATTTCTTTCTTAAAAATATCCAAAATAATATCTTAGGTTCAAATCGTGAAAGATTTATTTCTCGTGAATACCATAATTTCGACGTAGATAATTTATCTTTAACAAAATTAAAAAAAAATTAAGCAAAATGTACATAAATTGATACATGATATCAAAAAAAAAATAATTTTTAAATTTAAATAGCATTAATTACTCAATCAAGTAAGAATCAAAATAAGAGACCGCAAAAGAGATTATTATAACTTCGTAAAACACTGAGGACCTTTCACCTTCTGTCTTTATCAGAAAAAAAAGAAAAAGAAAAAGAAAAAAAAGGCAGTAATGACGTGTGGAACACGCTTCAGTACTAAAACAGACCTGAAAGTACAATCTTTGATCATCGTGTGAATGATTTAAGTGAATGGCTATGTATTCTAACAGTACACCTGACAGGTTTTACCAGTAAACATGTTCTTCACAATGCCTTTGAACTAGCTCCTACTGAAGAATGTGGCCAGTCTTCAACTTCAAGCCATCTTCGTGCTCCTTTTTCTTTTTCCTTTTTTTTTTTTTTTGGCTTCAACAACCACCAAACCCAAAAATTTTATTTTATGAAACTTTAAAATAAATTGTATTTGTTTGGCTTATGTTCTTCTTGGGTAAGGTTGTCTTTGTATAAGAAACATTAAAAAATAATACTAATTTTACCTATACCAATTAATCTCCAAGAATTTTTAAAATCGAGCAGAATTTTGAAAGTGAGATCAATACAACAATTATACGATGAGAACTATATGTTTAGAAATTAATTGTTTTATCTGTAATCAATACAACAAAATAGAACTCTTAAGAGTGGACTAGTAATTGGGTTTGACTAAGTGATTGAGTATAACATTTAGTAATTTAAATCTCTTAAGATCAATTTTTTCTCACAATTCTTAAGTGTTAGTCATTTTTGTTTGTTTACGGACATGTTTTAATCTAACTCAAATTAATATGATCAATCGCTAAATTTAAAGAAATAATCAACATAAGCTCGAATATCTTATACCAAATAAAAAATATAGCACAATAATAGGATAAGACTCCAAAATTTTTATACTAACAAAATTGATTATATTGGCACGACGTGGAGGGGCATACAACTTCAAGTGGTGGTAAGGACCATCGAAGTAGGTCCATGCGCATCGAATTCGAAACCTCACGGCCGTGAGTGTGGGTTCAAATTTTGAGTGGCATTGGCTCTGCAAACTCAAAAATATAAAAGAATCAAACGGTTCAAATTTGAAGGGATTCCTCCAAGGTGGTGGTCCCACCTCATGATATCATGATGATGGTTCAAATTAGCCACCTCGGAATATGTGTAGTCAAACTGATTCGATTGGGGCTAAGTTTCTTCCGAAATGTGGGTCCCTATCAATTATCATGATCTTCTAGTATTCATTAATCCCGAAGCTCTAGGCCACCTATATGGCAATGATGAAATCATGTGATCTCTCTCCATCTTGTTATGGGGACCATGGTAGCATCCAAAACTTTTCCAATTATGTCCCCATTTATTGCTTGTGAACAATGGACATTAGAAGACAGGACAAGGTTACCGGGAAAAAAAAAAATTGGTATCGTTATTTTAAATTTTATAACTTTAAGGATGTCTTTATAATTTTTATAAGTTATTACACAATAAAAAAATTTATAATTTTGTAGATTTTTTTATCACTTTTATGATAATAAAAATACCTTGAGTGTGGTTGAGTACGATATCAAAATTTTATTTTTAAGTACGGCAGAGTACGGCAACATTAGGGGATGATCTTGATATCCCTCTCACTAATGCTATTTGTTTTCCTTTCTTTCCATGTGAATGATTACGTGTAATGCCATGGGATTGGATTGACCCTCCAGCATCCTCCTATTTTATTCCTCAAGATTAATTTCTTAGATTTAGCCCTTTTTTTTTTTAATCATAATTTGTGTGTCACTCCTATATTACTAAATCAAATAATGCTAAATAATTGCGAGGAAATGTGATTAGCATAATCAATGATTTGATTTGTAGATCAGGGCAGTGGTGCAACACACTTGTTAGTAGATATGCTCAGTCGTGTCCTAATCGTGTAATATGGTGAGATGTCCATCTAGAATTGTTGATGTTAACTATCAAATTTGATGTTATAATTTCTAATGAATGAAAGTACTATCGTTTTTCTTGAAAAATTGCAAGAAAATCTTAATGATATTAAACATCCTGTTGAGCTAAAATTAGCATTAATTACTCGACTTCTCACGGATCATATTCTATCGAGCAACGATACAATCAATATTTGCACAATGGAACATAAGGACGTCGAAAAAAATTTGATGAAGAAACATCATATTTGTTAAAACCTAGCCCCTTGAGCTCCCGTTTGTGGGTACCGTCACGAGAGATGGTCGGACTAAAACTTCAAGCAATTCATAGCAAGTTTAGAACAAGGGTCATAATCATTTCCTCACAATGGGTGAGTTAGATTTAAAGGCAAGCCGATCGCGTCCGTTATTCTAGAAATAAATTTAATTAAACTAATATAACGATCAATCATCAAACATCAATATAAATTTTAAAATTTGACCTTGTAACCTCGAGATGAGAAATTTAATTAATATGTCACTAAATCACTCCCACTCGATCATTCACGAAATAGAGATTATAAAAAAAAAAAAAAAAACGATACTATCGGTGAGTAGCCGTAATGACAGTTGCCACAGCCAACTTCTTGACTTTGTTGCCAAAGTGCGTGACTTTACCGCTATAGGTCTATGCTATACGCATGCGTGATAGGTCCAGCAGCCAGCGCTGACTGCGGGCGCAATGTACCAAACAGGCCAATCATATTCTGAAATTTTGCCTCAATTATAATAATTCAGATATTTCGTGTTTAATTTTTTCCCATATTTTTAAAAATTAATTACTTTTATTTTTTTAAAGACATATTCTAAGTATAATTCAACTCAAATCATCATGATGGTCAATCGTTGAACTCGAAAAATTAGTCAACACAAATTTAAACATCCTATAAAAAAAAATGACAATTTTAAGTAATATACACACTTAAAGAAACTTTCACAATACTAATTTGTGGGACACATAAGTTAATATTTTTTTAAAAAAAATATTAAAGTAACAAGTGACAGTTATTTATTAAAAATTTATAATATTTTAGAAGTTAAATACCTCACCTTTTTTTTTTTTAATAACAAATGATAGTACTTTATTAGTGATAAATGACAAGAGAGTGAGATGTCGATGTTGGAATCAATGATTTTAAAGATTAAGAGTAAGAGCAAAAATTATTAAGTCGACTGCTATCCTCGTCTACACCGTCTTAACACTGGGTTCTAAATTTCCTGGTGATATTCCTTACAGAAACAAACGAATCTAGGAGGTCGGTGGACAGGATCTCCTACGCCAACCATATTCTTATATACGTGTGCTCTTTTTCTTTGTTTTGTGGCTCAACTCAACTAGAGTGAATGAATGATTTAACATGTTTGGTCATTTTAGTTTGAGTGGTTGGGCCCAGTCCATGCTGTAGGCTGTACAACCCGACCGTGCTTCCATCAGCTTGTCCCCTTTTGCATAAGCTTCTCTCTCCATTTTGTTTGTGATTTTCCAATGATATGATCGAGATATATTTGTCCCACCTAAACTCCTATTCAGTAGTTCCTTCCGCATCCTCAATGATCCATCTGATACGGTAAAAAAAATAAAAAATTAAAAAATTAAAATAATAAAAAATTAGAGAGATAAATAAAATATTATATTTGATAAAAAAATAATAAAGATAAAAAAGTGGATGAATTAACTTTTCTTCAAACTCACTAAAATTAATTTCTCAAAAATCAAAAGGAAAGTGGATAAAAAGTTAATTATTTGTATTGAGATATATCTTATTTTTTTATATATCTTTTAATATATATATATACTAGTTATTGTCTGTGTCTGAAGACACAGAGTAATAAAAAATGA